GAAGAGTTTTGGTCAGTTTATCAAGCACATAAGCAAAGAATAATCACGTGTACATGTTAATGTACTCAAGTAAATAATCATATAATAAATAGAGTGCAAGTCCCCACCTTAACTCCTAACTAGAACAAGCTCTTGCTCTTGATTAACTCCCTCCTACTTTATTTCTTCTCTTCCTCTCTTCTCTTTTCTTTTATCTTCTCCTCTCTCCTTTTCAATTTTCAAGAGCTGAAATGTGCTCTCAAATGCTGAAGACAGCCTTTAAACAGAGGAACTTAATTCATCCTCATAATCATTTAAGCTTTCCACAAGATGACACCTATCATCTCCTCCTCTTATGTTCCCAACACATTGTTTCTTTCTTCTTCTTTTCCATGATGACATCATTCTAAACCATCAACTTTTCTATTCTTTAAGAACTTAAGGTCCTTATTTCAGCAACCTATTTTCATTAATCCTCTTCTTCTTCCTTTTCTATGATGACATCATCCTAAACCATTAACTTTTCCTTCACTTTAAGCACCTTTCAGTAACCCATTTTTGGTCAACACAAGTCCTAATTATGTTCCAAATGGTTTAGACATTAAAGGCTAAGTGTTATTATAAGAAATGTGACAAATAATGTGCCACTATTAATTTACATAATTTCTCAATTAACCTCATTATGTGAAGGGGAACATATATACTACTCTCTCCGTCCCAAATTATAAGATACTTTTAGACAAAATCTCACATACCAATAAGTCTCCTTAAATACAATTAACAACCCTATCTTTCCAAAACAAAATTATAAACTTCCTAAAATACCCACCATTTAATATATTGAAAAGAAAAGTGATGGAAATTAATCATAGAGAGAGAAGGGTAATATCGAAATTAGTGCATTTAATGAAACCTTAATCTACTCAAAGTGTCTTATATTTTGGAAAGGAAAAACTCCTTCAAAAGTGCCCCATAATTTGGGATGGAGGTGTTAGAAATTGTGCCCTAAGGCCAATGATTGTACTATGCACATTGTTATTTAATGAATTTCTCTTTTGTTATCATAATAATTGCATGTTCAATATGATAACTGTATCCTTGAAAAACTATAGTGATTGTCCTAAATGTCCCTGGTCGATCATCTTTGAGGGATTATAGATGAAACAAGACTAATATGACTTTGATTAATTATAGAGATATAAATTAAAGTTATAGGCACTTGAAAGAGTACAAGGTACTAGACCGACCTGCTATGAGAAAGCTGCATGGTATAAGTCATAAGCTTATCTCATATGTAACTATATCACTAAGCCCTTTGACTTGAGATTATCATGGATTCCTACATGATGACTACTGAACTTTGACTTAGTCAAAAGTCACCTTTGACCAGGTGATCATAAAGGCTATGATTGAGTTTAGTAATATTCATGCAGAGGAATATGAGTGATCAAGATGGAATTTGTCCCTCACATTAAATGAGAGATATTATTGGGCCCCTCAATGAGTAAGACTGAGAAAATGTATGGCCATACTACAGTGGAAAGGGTTTTTCCATTACTACTGTCAGTCTACTCAAAGATCGAGAAAGTAACGATCAGGTAAAGGAGAATGACAATTCCATGTCTCATACTTGACTGAAATATCGTGTGACAAAAGGAATGTGATATGGTTGCATGATAGGTTACATTAGATCATCAATCTCTATGTGAATTGGTTAATTATAATGTCTTGCTAGAGGCCACTTGTGACTTGTAGGCTAACAGTGTAATTAGCCTACTGGCAATTTCATATGGGCCTATAGGGTCGTACACAAGAACAGCCCAACTCAAGCTATAATATCCAAGTTCATTGAATCTGGAATATGTCTAGATTCAATGAATGTAATAGAGGGTGAATGAATTATATATATATATATTTAAATATTTATTTGATAAATATTTATATATATATATATATATATTTATATGAAATATAAAATTCAAAATATAATTTATATATCTATATTTTCAAAAAATATATATATATTCGAAATATATATGTATATATATATATATATATATTCGTACATATATATATATAAGAGAATATGTATATGTGATATATTATATTATATTATATTAGTTTGGTTTTAAATTTAATTTTATATTATAGATTAAATTTAATAACTAACATGATATGAGAGAATATCATGTCAGTTTTATAATTTAAATTTACAAGATAAATTCGAATTAGATATAATATTATGGATTAAATTTATGAGATAAATTTAATTAAATTTTCGTAGGCTTTTTAAGTGGAAGACGAAAACCCTTATCTATATACTATATATAGATAGAGACGTCCTTTATGAAAGTGGAGAGAGTTAGAAAAGTTCTAATAGCAAAAAACACCCGGAGAGCCATGAAACATCTTATAGAAAGAAAAGTTAACATTTAAAGAAGAACGGACGCTGAGAGCACTAGCAAGCTGTTCGAGTTAGAGAGCTGTCCATGTGGATACAGATAAAGGGAGTATATCTACATTGTCAGCCCCTGAGATCCAAACTCTTGAAGAGAACGTGCGCTAACTTTGAAGAATTAAAAGGTAACTCTTTTATCCACCTTGACTTAAATGAGTTAGTTTGGTCCATATTAGGATAGGGACTTTAGAATTTTAATCTTCCACTGCACCTCCCTATCTAACAGGAGGGAGTATATTTTTCATGCTGGGGACATTTTCTTTTATTTTCAACAACTATTTGATCTTTTAAGGCCTTCACATAAGTTGTTGGACCAAGCAATTCTAGGCTCGATAATATTTATATTAGGCCTATTAACATTTTGATCCAATAATCTCTCTAATAATTTTCTTAAGGTACTTTTCCTCTTTAATACCTCTAGGCTCTCATAATTACTTAGAAATATTTTCTAAGACTTTTCAATTTATTCTGAATTCTTGTAATCATTCTTAAATTTTGGGTACTTCTAAAATTAATTAAAGACCTAAATACTTTTAGAAGTGACAATTTAGCCCCAACTGAGCTATACATTTTTTGAATAAAGTGTCCTTTGACTCATTTCCAAACTCTTGTTATTTTCTCATAATCTGATAATATTTGTTTACACTTAAGTTCCTTTCACTTTCAATATTTGTAATTTGATCCTGGATAGGCTATTACTTTTACTTACTTTTCTTTACTGTACTTCTATGTCCTTGTTAGAATTTAGGCTTATCTAAGAACAAGTCAAGGATACTCTCTTTGTAGTAGTTAACCAGACATAGGAGGTCTCTATATTCTAAACTCATCCTAGTTCATAGTTTTTTAAGAGAACTTCTATACTTTGTGGCTCAGTAACTTTCTATTAGGTCTACTTTGACTATAAGATCTAATTGCAATCTTGAGATCTAACTGCGATCTCACTTCTTTTCGATCTACTGATATCCTTCTCTAGCAAACTCATGACCTAAGGATAGAGTTGTCACATAAGATTACCTCTATTCAATCTAGAAGCTACTCTGATTATTCTCCCAAGACTAATCATAGATTACATTAATGCACTCTTAAGCCTTACTTAGTCCTTTTGACCTATCCTGGATAGTTATGAACTTTAACTGGCTCATTTTTTCAATTTTAAGGACTTGCTTGTACTATACTCTTTACTTTGAAAAACCTTTAATTCTTGCTTCAATCCCTAAGAGTCATCCAATCTTTAATTTTCAAAGAACTCATACTCAACTAGGCATAAAAACCTTTCCTAATTCAATGTTGTTCTTGATCTTCTTCACCCAAAATTCAGGATGTTAGATAGGGGTTTTTCATATTGACTTATGTTTATTTGAAGTTAACTTGCATTTATAGCATTAAACATTGTATTTAGTCATTTTTGGATTGTCTTGGCCATAGTAGGGTCCAATCCTCTAATCTGACTATAGTAATGTACTAAGATAGTTTAAGCAAGTATATTTTGACAAGTTAGATGAGTTTTACTTGTTTTGGGTGATTATTCTGCTTGAATGCAAAGAATTGCATTTTCACATCCTGGTTATATGCCTTATGATAATTAGGTGATCAATTCTTGTATTAAGAGTTATTTGATGCTTGTGACTATTTAGATAAGTATATTAGGACTTATTGAGTATGATTTAAGCTCTTGTATGGGCTAATGGCTTATGGTATGAGATTTGGACACTTTGTTGATGGTTTTATCGGTAAAATGTGAAATTATAGTCCTAGGTGTCTAAATTCTTTGTTTGATGTCAGATTGACATAAACTAAAATCATTAGCTAGATTATAAAATTGTTGACATGTGAGTGCTTGAATCTCCTCAGTAGGAGATCTAAGTCAAAAGTTATGCATGTTGGAATTTCATGGTTGGTAGTTTTCATGATAGTTGTTGTCATGATAGCTTTGGCCATGGCTTATAGATTATTGGCTATAGCCAAAGGAGTTCTTAAGACCATTTGGCCATAGCCAAGTCTTCATTAGAAGTGTTAGACATAGCTTAATATGCTTAGGCTGCAATAAAGTACCCCTATTAATAAAAAATGATCATTTTTACCTTATTCTGACTTGTTTTTAACTCTGATTTCATGCTTCCCAAACACTTTTTACTCTTATTTATAATAGTTAAGTGACATTTTAAACTTGGCCTTTTGAGTTTTTATATATCTAAGGTTGATCCTTTTATTTCCATGATATCTTTTATCATTGATTAAATTAGTTGGAATTATCATCATTAGCTCTACCTTAAGGTTAAGTGTGTGCTAATTATATATTTAAAGATTGGAGGTTTTACAATTTCTCTCACCAATCACCATCATCAATACTTACAAAAATTAAGAAATCACATTATTCAAGAACCATAAATAAAATGACTTGCCTTAAGACCATATACCAATCTGAACTCACAGTGGTGAATACTTATTCATCAAATCCTCTATTAATCAGTATATCCATACTAATGGACAATGTGAACATTATGAAATTTGTCAAATTATTCCTTTATTGTGTGTAAAATTATTCCATTATTCTATTAATCTATATATCCATAGTAATGGACAGTACATTTATTTATGTAGTTACATTAACACAATTCTTTTTTTTTAGTTCCAACCAGGTGGAATATATATATATATATATATCTATGCATGCATTCATGTTGCTCCTATCATGGCTCCATCTTCATCTTAATCCATGCTTCTCCTTTCTTCTTCTATAATCAAAGCAAAAAACAAATAAACAATGGTTATTAAATATACAAACATGAACCTCTGGGTTTACTATAAATAATAAATTCTATAACAAATCATACTATATTAATAAGTCATAAGTCATGAAACTAGATTTGGATCTTGTGACTCATCTAAATCCACTCACTTTAATGAGTGTTTTATGTGGCACAATAACAACTAACGACTATTAGATTTTGCCATATAATACTAAAAACATACCAATCTCAACTTTTTGGAGGAGATAAGGATTTGTTCTGATTATCATGATTGTTTGGAATTTCTAAGGAGACATATATCTTAATGATTCTTAATTATTGATAAAATTCAATTATTATAATTGAAACATTTATTAAATAAGTGAATTTAAATCACACAACCAATTAAAATCCAATTACTAATGTGACACTAGGTAATAAATTAAAGACATGCACAAATAATGGACTTACTTTGTCAGTGTCAGTGCCACTATGGTTTGTCTTGTCCTCATTCTTCATTGTCTTCTTATCAGTGTCAGTGCCACTGTGGTTTGCATTATCATCGTTCTTCATTGTCTTCATGTCAATATCAGTGTCACTATGGTTTGCCTTGTCATCGTTCTTCTTTGTCTTCTTGTTAGTGTCAGTGCCACTACAATTTGCCTTGTCATCATTCTTCTTTGACTTCTTGTCAGTATCAGTGCCACTGTGGTTTGCCTTGTCATCATGCTTCATTGTCTTCTTGTCAGTGTCAGTGCCACTGTGGTTTGCCTTGTCATCATGCTTCATTGTCTTCTTGTCAGTGTCAGTGCCACTGTGGTTTGCCTTGTCATCGGTCTTCTTTGTCTGCTTGTCAGTGTCAGTGCCACTATGGTTTGCCTTGCCGTCATTCTTCTTTGTCTTCTTGTCAGTGTCAGTGCCACTATGGTTTTGTTGGTCTTTGTTCTTCTTTTTCTTCTTGTCAGTGTCAGTGCTACTATTTGTCTTCTTCTTTCCATTTTCATATTTGGTATCATTGTCGTTGCTGCTACTGCAGTTGTCAAGGCTATGGTCGCCACTGTCTGGGCTGTTGCCACCACTACGAAGGATGTGGCCGATCTTTTTTTCAATCTTCTTAATTTCTCTATCGATTAGTCTATCTATCATTTCCATTATTTTTTTCTTCCCCTCCTCCCGTTTACTTTTTTCAGCTTCTTCCTTCTTCCTTTGTTCCTCCTTTTTCCTTTCTTCTTCCTTCCTCCTTTGTTCCTCCCTTTTCCTTTCTTCTTCCTTCCTCCTTTCTTCCTCCCTTTTCCTTTCTTCTTCCTTCCTCCTTTCTTCCTCCCTTTTCCTTTCTTCTTCTTTCTCCCTTTTTCTTTTTTCTTCAATTTCTTCTACTATGATTGATAATGTTGTTCCCATAGTTTCCCTTTTTGAAAGTATTTAAACTATCACTCGGTGATTTCTTTGAATGCCCTCTTTTGATCACTTGGTTTATGGTGTGGATCCATGGAGCTCTTATTGTTAGTTATATAGATTGTTATGCATGCATGGCATGATAATGGAGCATGTGGACTATTCACATAAAAATCCATCCAAATTTATAAGTTTTATTTTATATTTGTTGAAATAAAAATCATAAAAAAATAATAAATTTGTCTTATCATCAATATGAATTATAAAAATCTAATTTGAATGGTCTAATTTAATATCAAATAATTTTATAATTTTTGTAAATTGACTATTTAGAATTACTCTAAACAATCTAGATTTAATAAAATCTATAAGTATGAACTAATATATGTTTGCATATGTACGTACCTATGTATGAATGAATGATAAAGATCATTATCAGTGAGTATTAGCATTTTTTCAAAAATCAAGAGCATCGAATTATATATGTATATGTAATACTATTTGTTATTCTTAATAACCTTATTGTAACCTTCTTTTAGGTTTTTTTATGTTCTGTACTTGGGGTCTATTTTAAAATTTTAAATGATTGGATATAATTATTTTTCAGTCTATAACTTATTTATACATTATTTTGTATCATGAGTTCTTGACGTAAATAATTTTCTTTCATTTCTAAAAATGCTTTTGTTATGTTACATAATTAAAACAAAGAAAACATTTCATTCTGCTTGTTCATAACTTAGTCATGAATTTTGTCAAAAAAATTAATTAATCATGAAATTCTGTTATATATATATATATATATATATTCCAATAAGTATTAACACACCACTATTTATATGCCGTAATTCTTTTTTAAGAAAAAATGCTATTTCACTTATTGTGTATTCATTAATAACTCAAAACTCCACAACTAATAGTAGTGGGATTAATTTACAAAAAATATTAAAAATTGAATCTAACACATTTATATATTTTAGATTGTTCAGAGATTCTATATTTAAATCACTCCTGTCCATATTCTAATTTTCTTCTATCGTGCATATCTTCAATGAATCGAATCCTTTTATGTCATTCCCATTATTCGAATGTGTATATAACTCATGGCAATAGGCTTTTGGCTGTTCATTACAAATATTGATTAGTTATTTGACATTTTTCATTAATTTTTTAATCATATTTTTTATTAGTTCATATTTTAACAATATTCAATCCAGAAAGCAGTAGCACTCCCAGTCCCATTCCTTTTGAACTAGCATGATATATATATATATATATATATATTTTATTTACATATCCATGTAAATTAAGCATTCATTTTAAATTACATATGTATATGTAACTGTTTCCATTTTACATCAAATGTATTACAATAAATTATATTCCAATTGGCAAAAAAGTTATATTCCTGCAGGTTTAATTTTATTATTTTTCACTTTGGAATATAAAGTTTATTCTACTATCAATTATTTTGTACTAATAATCGATCTTTTAAGGGTAGTTTTTTATGATGTTCTTTTTTTATTTTGCAAATGATTTGTTTGATGAAATATTTTGTATATAGTTTTATTTTGACAATTTTTTGGTTAAAAAGATTTATATTGGTGTAGTAGTCCTGTTAAAAGCTCACTAATAATAGAGCTAGAAAAATGTGTTGATCCCTATCAAATCAGCTCATGTAAGTTCGTTTAAATGGAGGGTTAGGCTTAAGTTTTGAGCACGTCAATGCTTAATCAGCCTAGCCCTAACAAGTTCAAAAATAAGCAAGTTGGCTGATTTAAGCCATATGTATATATATATAAATTTGTTAATATATATATATTTGCACAAACATATATATAAATATGTATATATATTTATGAAAATTTTTATTAATATTTAATAAATGAGGAGGGGGAGAATCTAAATTTTGAAAAGGAGAGTAAGAATGTTAAAAAAAGGAAACCCTAATATAGTATTTTAATTGATTAATATTTAATTATTTATAGTTTAATTTGTTTTATTTTCATATATTTATTTAAAAGAAGATTTTTTTTAAACAATTAAAAGGGTTTGAGGCCCTTTGAATGACTCTAAGTTGTTGAGCTTTGCACACGATATGATTTTTTAGTAATTGAGCATTTTAGGTTCGATTCTTTGAAGCTTGAGCTGATTTTGACTCATTTTTTCCACCTCTACTCACTAAATTATAATAAGTTATATGAATAAATGTAATTATAAAAATACTGGCAAATTATATATCAACAAAATTATCACATCAAAGGAAAAAAAAAACAAGAACACATATATTAAGAGATCATTTTAAAAGATACGAAGAGATAATAAGAATGTGTAATTACCATTCTTTTCCATGGGAATTTTACTTTTCTCAAAAGTCATAGGTTCCATTTGGATTGTCATTAATTTTATTCTCTCTTTTACATCATCTAACATTTTCTACTTTTTCCCCTTATGTGTGTGTACTTCACATGAGTCCTTGGAGTTGGATTCTTTTTGCATGACATTATATAATTTTTTTCCTCTCCCAACACAATCAATTAATTTTCTTTTTGATTTGTTTAATTTTTTAACTACAACTAGAGCCTCGAAATAAAAAAGGAAACACCAATTCTATGTATACCAATAAGTTATCACATAAAGGCAAATGGATTAAAAACAAATCTATAGCATATATCATTCTATTAATTTTATTACTATTTTGACATAATGTTAAAGGATCTCTTTATTCTCTTGTTGAAACTCACTAACAATAAAATGTAGAATACAAACTATGAATTTCAAGAAACATTTATCACTTTTTTTTAAATTGTCCACCATGAAGTCAATGCTTATTTTCACTAGGAAAATTTGTTTCATTAATTATATGGATAATTTCATCCAAATTTTTAAATTTCAAACATAATTATTATACTTAAACAATCTTCTTAAACATTATGAATTTGTTATTTTCTCTTATGTACTTGTTTCCCCCTAATCCATTTTAATATTCCTAATTAATTCATGAACGTAATTGGAAATATCGAAAAGCTAAGAATTGTAGATAGAAGATTTAAATATGCTTTTGAAGAATATCGTAACCGTAGATATTAATATTCCATTTTAATATCTTAGTTTTGATCTTAGTTTTGCTTTTGAAGAATATATGCTTAACCTTTTATTTAAATGGGAATATGAATGTTCACATGAGTCATATGAATGAGTTCCATTCACATTAAGATAGCTATTATTTTTGTTCACTCTTTCATGAAGGGTGTGCGTCATAGAAGTCTTAGGAATTACATTTATGTTTCTATACTTTTTTTCTCCTTTCCCAAAGGAACCAATGAGTCATCATAAGTCACTTTTCATTTAAAAAAAAAAATTATGGTGCTTGTAAGTGACTTTCACATAAGATATAATTATTTTTTTCTAATTTTGTCCTTATATAATCTTTTAGAGTAAAGGTGCATTTTTGCTTCTGAAATATTGTCCAAAGACACCCAGTACCCTAGAGTATTTTTTGGAGCATTTTGGTCCCTAAATTAATTAAATTGAAGAATCATTTACCCTACTATTAAATCCCCATAAAAGTCTGCTAGAAAAAGCTGACTTGGAACCAAATACTTTCCAACGGACAATTCTTTAATTATTTTAGGGGCAAAAATATTTTAACAAATATTTTATTGTATTGGATGCTCCTCGAAGGCAAAAGTGCACATTTATCCTTTTTTTTATGAGCATGATAAGTGTAACGCACTTAAAAATGAAACTAATTTGACCAAAATCTATCAAAATTGACACAAACGTTATGCCTATAAACTAAGATCTTAAAGAACCTATTGCATTATCATAACATAAAATGGTGGCTTTTGTTGTGACAACTAAGCCACTATTTAACAAAGCCCACAAAAACAAGAGTTTGAGAACACAATACAAATAACAAGAATTTGATTTCTTTAATTTTTTAACTACAACTGGATCTATGAAAAGGAAACACCAATTAATGTTCTGTGTGTAACAATGAGTTATTACCTAATGGTAAATGGATTACAAAGATCTATTACATATATAATTTTATTTATTTTATTGCTATTTCTAGATAATGTTAAAGGATTTTCTTATTCTCTTGTTGAAAACTCACTAATAATCAAATGTAAAATACTCTCTTTGTTTTTAAATATAAGTTAATTATCATGTGTATGTTCATTTTTATTTATGAACAAAACTATAAATTTTAAGAAGTATTAATCATATTTTCCTCAAATTCTCCTTCATAAAGTTATTGATTATTTTCATTGGACAAATTTATTTCATTAATTACAGGGATAATTTAGGCCAAATTTTTAAATTTCAAACATTATTATTATCCTTAAACAACTTTCACTAGTACAAAATATAAAATTTATGGGGTATTTTTTACATCGGTTGGAAGGCAAATGGTGTAAAAAATAAAGGCGGTGGTATTTTTGTAATTATCTTGAATTATGTGACACTTTTTACACCGAGTGTCCAGGCACCCGGTGTAAAAAGTTATCTTTTTACACCGGGTTCCCCCACCCGGTGTAAAAAGTATAGTTTTTACACCGGGTGCCTGGACACCCAGTGTAAAAAGTGACCTTTTTACATCGGGTGCCCCACCCGGTGTAAAAAATATACTTTTTACACCGGGTTCCCAGGCACCCGGTGTAAAAAGTAAGTTATCTTTTTACACCAGGTGGGTAACCCGATGTAAAAAGTATAGTTTTTACATCGAGTGGGGGCACCCGGTGTAAAAACTATACTTTTTACACCGGGTGCCTGAACACCCGATGTAAAAAGTGTTTTTTAAATTCATTTTTTCCTCCCTTCATTCATCAGTTCCCTCTCCTCCTTCTCGCGCCTTCCCTCTCGTCTCCCCTTTGTCCGCCCACTTCCCCTCCCCCTCGTCTTCTCCCTCGCCGGCCCCCCTCCCCCCGTCCGCCCAGCCTTCCCACCCATCCGCCGAGCCCCCTCCCCCTCCTCCCCTCGCCGCCCACTCCCCCTCCCCCTTGGTCCGCC